TAGACCTGGCAGTTTTTGACATGACATGAAAACGATACGAAAATAACGGGTTTCGGGTCAACACGATAACTTATCGGGTCACTATCGGGTGACCCGTTAAGAACCCGTTAATAACGGGTTCTTAACAGGTATACACGCGGGTAACACGTGGGTAACCCGTTTCGACCCGTTAAGAAAAAATTATTTTAATAATTTTAAAGTTTAATTACTAAAAGATTTATTATAAAATACAATAGTCATATTAATATATACAATATATTCTATATTAAATATATAGTTTTGTATTATTGTTCTATATAAATTATTAAAAAAAAAATAGTCATTATTTATTTTTATTATGAGAGTTCCTTATTATCATTACTAGGATAAATTTTACATAACATATTCTTTTCCAAAATTAAAATATACTAGTATAGTATTTGTATATGCAAGAACTAAGAAGACATACATACAAGTATGAAAAATGTGAAAGAATATATAAACACTCGGGATTTGTCATTATTCCTCTACAAATAGATAATTGTTACACTTATATTATCATTTAGATTTTTAAAATCCTTCAAACCCTCATGAATAATGTTTTTTATTTGAGGGCAAAATTAATAATAATTAATGTAGAAGTGTAAAAAATGTAAAAATATATATATACAATCACTCATATATAAAAAAAATGTAAATGCTTTAAATTAAAGATCAAATTTATTCATTACATTCTTATAGGGTCGAGGAGTGTATATGTACAAAATCATCAAAATCGAAGCTAAAATAACCGTTAAATTGTGATTTTTCGTTTATAACCGTCGAAAACTTTTGTTCCGTTACGTAATATCTGAATGTTTGTTTTTTACGATTTTTTAAGTTTGCAATCTCGGAATGTGTACAAATAAGTTTGATGGTTGAATTGTTGAAAAACGTTTCGTATAATGCATATTGCGTCAAAACGGTATATTAAACAAACACTTAGAGTTAATATTATACTTCTATTAAGTATAAAATAAGTTTTTGTGGTATCCACTAGTGTAAATACTTTAAATTAAAGATCAAATTTATTCATTACATTCTTATAGGGCCAAGGAGTGTATCTGTAAAAAATCATCAAAATCGGAGCTAAAATAACCGTTAAATTGTGATTTTTCATTTATAATCGTCGAAAACTTTTGTTCCATTACGTAATATCTGAATGTTTGTTTTTTACGATTTTTTACGTATGCGATCTTGGAATGTGTACAAATAAGTTTGACGGTTGGATCGTTGAAAAAAGTTTTGTAGAATGCATATTGCGTCAAAATGATAGATTAAACAAACACTTGGAGTTAATATTATACTTTTATTAAGTATAAAATAAGTTTTTGTGGTATCCACTAGTGTAAATACTTTAAATTAAAGATCAAATTTATTCATTACATTCTTATATGGTCGAGGAGTGTATCTGTACAAAAATCATCAAAATCGGAGTTAAAATAACCGTTAAATTGTGATTTTTCGTTTATAACCGTTGAAAACTTTTGTTCCGTTACGTAATCTCTGAATGTTTATTTTTTACGATTTTTTACGTATGCAATCTCGAAATGTGTACAAATAAGTTTGATGGTTGGATGATTAAAAATAGTTTCGTAAAATGCATATTGCGTCAAAATAGTAGATTAACCAAACACTTAAAGTTAATATTATACTTCAATTAAGTATAAAAAAAGTTTTTGTGGTATCCACTAGTGTACATACTTTAAATTAAAGATCAAATTTATTTATTACATTCTTATAGGGTCGAGGAGTGTGTCTATAAAAAATCATCAAAATCGGAACTCAAATAACCGTTAAATTGTGATTTTTCGTTTATAACCGTCGAAAACTTTGTTCCGTTACGTAATATCTGAATGTTTGTTTTTTATGATTTTTTACGTATGCGATCTCGGAATGTGTACAAATAAGTTTGACGGTTGGATCATTGAAAAAAGTTTTGTACAATTCATATTGCATCAAAACAGTAGATTAAACAAACACTTAGAGTTAATATTATACTTCTATTAAGTATAAAATAAGTTTTTGTGGTATCCACTAGTGTAAATACTTTAAATTAAAGATCAAATTTATTCATTACATTCTTATAGGTCGAGGAGTCTATCTGTAAAAAATCATCAAAATCGGAGATAAAATAACCGTTAAATTGTGATTTTTCGTTTATAACCGTCGAAAACTTTTGTTCCATTACGTAATCTCTGAATGTTTATTTTCTACGCTTTTTTACTTATGCGATCTCGGAATGTGTACAAATAAGTTTGACGGTTGGATCGTTGAAAAAAGTTTCGTAGAATGCATATTGCGTCAAAACGGTAGATTAAACAAACACTTAGAGTTAATATTATACTTCTATTAAGTATAACATAAGTTTTTTGTGGTATCCACTAGTGTAAATACTTTAAATTAAAGATCAAATTTATTCATTACATTCTTATAGGGTCGAGGAGTGTATCTGTAAAAAAATCATCAAAATCGGAGCTAAAATAACCGTTAAATTGTGATTTTTCATTTATAACCGTCGAAAACTTTTGTTCCGTTACGTAATCTCTGAATGTTTTTTTTATGATTTTTTACGTATGCGATCTCGGAATGTGTACAAATAAGTTTGACGGTTGGATCGTTAAAAAAAGTTTTGTAGAATGCATATTGCGTCAAATCAGTAGATTAAACAAACACTTAAAGTTAATATTATACTTATATTAAGTATAAAATAAGTTTTTGTGGTATCCACTAGTGTAAATACTTTAAATTAAAGATCAAATTTATTCATTACATTCTTATAGGGTCGAGGAGTGTATCTGTAAAAAATCATCAAAATCGGAGATAAAATAACCGTTAAATTGTGATTTTTTCGTTTATAACCGTCGAAAACTTTTGTTCCATTACGTAATCTCTGAATGTTTGTTTTTTACGACTTTTTACGTATGCAATCTCGGAATGTGTAAAAATAAGTTTGACGGTTGGATCATTGAAAAAAGTTTCGTAGAATGCATATTGGGTCAAAACGGTAGATTATACAAACACTTAGAGTTAATATTATACTTCTATTGAGTATAAAATAAGTTTTGTGGTATCCACAAGTGTAAATACTTTAAATTAAAGATCAAATTTATTCATTACATTCTTATAGGGTCGAGGAGTGTATCTGTAAAAAATCATCAAAATCGGAGCTAAAATAACCGTTAAATTGTGATTTTTCGTTTATAACCGTTGAAAAATTTTGTTCCGTTACGTAATCTCTGAATGTTTGTTTTTTATGATTTTTTTACGTATGCAATCTTGGAATGTGTACAAATAAGTTTGACGGTTGGATCGTTGAAAAAAGTTTTTGGACCGCCATCAATAGATAATTTTGTAGTAGTAAAACCTTAAATTTATTTAACCGTCGATTATCATTTACGCTTTATTCTTCTTACTGAATTTCATTTTTAAAATTTTATTTTTTGAAAACATGATCATCTGGCGGATTTAAGAAGATGATATCACGTTTCGATATATACGGTTAACTGAAATATGAGTCAATGTCATATAATTTGTAGAAACTTTATAAACATCAAGCAATATTTTCACTAACCGTAAAACTCTAAATATAATATCAACGATCCAAACCGTTCATCTACCTGCACCCTCTAATAGATCATGTTTTCAAAAAAGAAAATCTAAAAAAACGAAATTTGATGAGAATAATGAAGCATAAATGTAAACAACAATCAACGGTTAAATTTTGATCTATGATTTATATGATTATAGTGGCGAATTTTGAAGTTAAGCTCTTCATGAAAGTTATAAAGCTTGTCATTACGAGTGTTTATATATTTGTTTTCTATATTTTTTTACACTTCTACATTAATTAAAAAACTATTAGACTTTAGGTAAGCGAAAATATACTTAAAACAAAATTGCGTTTTTATGTTTTGGATGTGATAATATGGAATGTATATACTTATTTAGTATTATGTTTTTCATTTGATTATTTATTGGTTTAAAATATTTTTTCCTTAACGGATAACGGGTCGGGTCATATTACCTGTTAATATTATCGGGTCGATTTCGGGTCGGGTCATTTTACCCGTTTATTTTAACGGGTGTTACACGACACGACCCGTTAAGATATCGAGTATGACACGAAAACGACGAATACGAAAAACAAGACACGAATGCCAGGTCTTCAAGTTACAATTTGACATTTTTCATAAAAACTCAACGCTTATTAGATGCACGAGTGACATCAATGCGATTAATGATAAACTATGTCCCATCTTTCTGAAACTTTCATATTATAACAATTTACACTTTACAACACAAAAATTGCAGTGCATTAGCAATAATGATTATTGAGATTGACATAACTCCTCATTTTGGTCACCGATAATGAAAATCGATAGAAGTGATCATGAGTTTGTTCACTGTAAATCATTTTATTATTTTGTGAAAAATCTTCACTATCCTTTTTAAAAGTATTTTGTCAAACCAACCCTCCACACAATTAGAATAGTGACAATTTTTTTACGAAAGAACTAAATTGATTTACGGTTGACAAACTCAGGAACCACTTTTATTAATTTTGACTAACAAAAATCAAAATAAGATGTTATATGAATCTCTGAAAGATCATTTTAACTAAAATGTCGATCAAGAATTCTTACACAAAATCGTGGTTATATGATTTTATCCAATTTCCAGCCAATTTCTTCTTGGGTCAACTGTTGGTACAGTACTCGCCAATAAGCATATCCATTATCTAGCCTCCACGTGTCGTCCATGCCCCACAAGGTTGGTCACACAAAGCATGTGGTAGCGCCCACCCCCAACGCCACTAGTTTCCCTAAAATCCGCTCTCTCTTTTGTTGCTAACATCTAGCCGTCCGATCAAGAAGTCACTAAAATCCCGTATAATCCGTGGCGAGTACAAGAAAATATTACACACTCGGGAAGATGGTTCTAGAAATGGCAAAAGCAAAAAATTCGAAAAATAGGGAGAAATTCAAGAACGGATGTTTTAAGAACGAAAGGGTAAATGGTGTGATGAATTTGCAGAGATCCCTTCTCCTCTCTCTCTCAAACTCCTCACTCTTCACCTCACTCTCTCTCTCTCTAAAACCCTAAACGCCATTTTCTCTGCCGCAGTCTCGTCCTTTCCGCCGTCGTCTGGCCGCCAACACGGCCACCGTTTCGTTTCAGCTTCCGATTTCATCCCATTTCCCGAGTTTTTCACTGATCGTCGTCCGAATGGCCTTCTCGTAGGCGACTTCAACGGGAGCGTCGTTATATCCTTCGTACCTCAGGCAACGCCGTCGTTTTAAGCTCCGAGGCTGAAACCAGTGCTTCGTCAACATCAACGGCTTCGTTAGGTCGCCGGTCCAGAACTTCAGATTTCCGATACCGGCTAGGGTTTCGAAATGTCTGTTTCCAAGAAACCAAGGTATGAGTTTCGAACTCAAATGCATGTGGTTTAGCGCTGCTTGGTTTCCCGAGGAGAACAGAGTTGGGATTCTGTATTTTTGGGTAACCAAACAGAGTTTAGCTCAGACATTTCTGATTTTGTGCATTGATCTTTGTGATTCTGCTGTTTTTGTTGTTTATACTTTGTAATGGACTGTTTGGTTGCTGAGAAAATTTGGGGGGAGACGAAAGGAAAATGAGTGTTTAAGTCTTACTGAGCTGATTAGGTGGGTTTTATTTAAATCTAAACCAGACACACCTTGACACATTTGCCCTTGCAAATGCTATGCTTGTTAGTTTTAAATAATAAATAGCTGGTCAGTACGATCTTCTTCCCGCGTAGATTTGAGATGTTTAGATTATCGCCTTTTTAGAAAAGAATTCTTAAAAGAATGCATATACAAAATAGCAGATGTGCGTTAGACCGGTTGGCTACAACATTGTGTTCTCACCCAGGCACCCGAGTTGGAATCCCCTCCAAGTGTAGTTTAGATTTCGAGTTATCAAAATTTTTTATTTATGTAATGATACATTTTAAAACCAATAACTCTGAAACCTATAACGATTTTGTCTATATCGACATGTAATGAATAACAAAATTAATTTGTTAGATGCGTCTATATTGAAGCTGTAAATATAGACTCTTGTAGCCAATGACACATATCTATGTGCTGCATTAACAACCTCTGAAAACCATTAACGAAGATGTATCGTATATAACTCTTTAAAAGCTTGTTGTATAACTCTACAAATAAGTTAGATGGAACCATCTTTGAAAATATGTTTAATTACAAAACATGAGTGCGGTAAATTATGTTGTGTTATCAAACATATGCGACGCACAGCAGCAGGAGGTCTATGGTTAGAGGTCAGACAGATAAAAATTTGGAGTAATCAGATGCTTGTCAAGTTAATGTATATGCTGCCACTAAGGTGGTGACACCGGTATTTGGTCCCGGGAAAGTAGAAGAAATTTGGGTTGCTGAAGGTGTTAAGTGAGATAAACATATTCACCGCGGGATAGAGATTGAATGCGTCTAGAGTGCCTATATGCAATGTCAGGAAATGGATTATCCTTGGCAATTCATGCCTTGGTGAAATGCAGCTAGAAAAATTTAGTTATGTAAGATAATGGAAAAAGGAAATGACAAAATGGTAGTAGTAAAGTGTGTATTCCCATGCCCCTAAACCATGATTACTTTGTTTATCTATGTCAGCCAAATGTTTCTGAAGTTTTATAAGCTTGGATTTTAAAATGTTTTTTATTGTTAATGACAAGGGGAAGATAACAGATCATATCATAGAAGACCGTTATTCAGTAATTGGTCAGACATTTTGTTTGCGTTTAAAGTATGTTCAATATTTAGCAAGCACTGAAAGTCCAATCATTATTTCATAGTACATGTGTTGGGGTTTGTTTTTCATCTGGATGTTTTTGTACCTTATTGCCTTGTTTGGTTGCTTTGAATTGATAGAAATGATCTGCATTGCAGGCTTGACATGTCTCACAGATTGAAAGAAGAAAAGGGTTTTAGCCTGTCTGAACTAGAAGACTATAAATATGACTATTACGATCTGTTAAAGAAAGGCAGTTATAAGGTGAAAAATTCTGATTCAACTTACAGATGCCCATTTTGTGATGAGAAGAGGAGGCGTGATTACCGACTAAAAGAGCTTTCACTACACGCTTCCGATATTGGCAGAGACAGCAGGGTTTTAAAAGAGAAAGCAAAGCACTTGGCTTTGGAGAGGTATATAGATAGATATCTTGATGTGAAGAGTCGGATAGAATCAACACCTAATGCTGGACAAAAATCGCAAAGAAGGACTGATGCAGTGGCTGGGGTGGTCTCTAGCCAACCCCAAATCAGAGAAAAAAGTAATCATTCTGAGTCTCCAGCCGAATCCCATCTTACTGCTTGCCCGCCCCTAGCCCCCAAGCTTCCCACCCCCTACCCCAAGGCCAAACCCACCACAGCTTCTTCAGCTGGTGTTCGCCCTACTGTACATGACAATGACCAATTGTTTGTATGGCCTTGGATGGGTGTTGTGGCAAATGTTAAAACTGAATTCAAGGACGGGAGACATGTTGGGGAAAGTGGTACCAAACTCAAAACTGAGCTGGCAAGTAAAGGTTTTAACCCTGTGAAGGTTCATCCTTTGTGGGGCAGAAGGGGTCACTCTGGGTATGCTATTGTTGAGTTCGAGAAAAGCTGGGAAGGTTTCCATGATGCAAAGTCCTTTGAGAAGAGTTTTGAAGTTGATCACCGTGGAAAACGGGACTATACTCTAGCTAGGAATCGAGGAGATAACTTATATGGATGGGTTGCTCGGGATGATGATTACAGCTTGAGTAGCATTCTGGGTGATCATCTTCGTAGGAACGGAGATCTGAAAACTGTTTCTGCCCAACAAGCAGAAGAACAGAGGAAAAATTTAAAACTGGTTTCCGATCTAGCTAGCACCCTGGAGACGAAGAATTCACTAGTAGAGGAATTGGAAAGAAAATACCGCAAGACCGACAATGATCTAAACAAATTAGCAAGCGTTTTAAATAAAAAGGAGGAGATGCTCAAAGCTATCAATGAAAGTATGCTGCTCAAAACATACCCAGCTTTATGAAAATACTTTAAATTGTCTTGGTTCCTCATTTTATTCCTGTGTTTGCTTATTTTATAATATATTTGTTATGTTGTTAGAAAGAGAAAAAATGCAAAAAGCTGCCCGTGAAGACCTGGAGAAGATATGCTTAGACCACAAGAAAGCCGCATTGAAGTTGGAAACTAAAAAGAAAGAGCTTCAGCAACGTGAGAAACAACTGCAGGAACACCGTGCACAAAATGATAGCGAGAGAAGGAAACTCTACCACGAAAGGGAAATGGTAATCTTCTTGTTTCCATCTTAAATTTAATAAACATAGGCTCTGTTTGAATATTGTGCAGATGTACCAATGGCATTGACTTCTGACTTGTATTAATTTAAAGTGATGTAGCTTGTAAGTAGATACACTAACATCAGGGAATCAGAATTTCAGGAGGAGAAGAGAGAAAGAGAGAACAAAGCGAATAAGATTAACAAATCAGAACATGTACATTTAATTTACTTTTACATTTTTCTGCTGTCCCACATATTTGGTATTCCATGAGAATAACAGAGACTAGTTAAATACTCGTGTCTCACATGCTTCTGGTGGGGTCAGTAAGGTAAGTTGAGGTTGTACAGAGTTGACCTATGGCATAGCAGTTATCATTGTGAATGTCTGGTTTCGTTTGCCTTAATTTTGCATCTATCATTGCTTGTGATATTCTTGGCAATTATTATTCAGTACAGCGTAATATAGGTTTTTTTTTTGGCTTTTAGAATGAGCGTGCTACCTTGGAACAAAAGACAGCTGATGAGAAGATGTTATGGTTAGCAGAAGAACAGAAGGTTTGTTTTCCATTATTATTTTGAAACTTGGGAATTGAATGAATGAAACTCTGAAAAATTTTGTATGCTGCTTAAATTGCAATTGCAGAAAGAAAAGGAGACACTTCGTAAGAGAATTATTGAATTGGAAAAGCAGCTCGATGCCAAACAGGTACTGGAGCTTGAGATAGAGCGAATGAAAGGTGCTGTAAAGGTGATGAAACACATGGAGGAGGATGAGGATTTGGAAGCCAAGAAGAAGGTGGAGGAAATACAAAGCCAGTTAAAGGAGAAGGAGGAGGAGTATACCGATGTAGAGGAACTTTACAAAACACTTCTTGTTAAGGAGCGGAGGAATAATGATGAAGTGCAGGAGGCTCGTAAGGAACTAATCAGTGTATGTGCATTTATTTTTCTGGTCTAGATCTTGGGGGTTTTATTGAATTATATTCTCTGCAATATGCTATTAATTTTTTTTTTCCTTCTAAATATTTCCATGCATTTGATATAGAATTAATTTTTTATGACACAATTATGCCTTGATACCATAGACTATGGACCATACAGTGCATGAGTTTGAATAACATGTATATATTAGCATGCTGAAACCATGATGAAAGCTGGTTTATGGGGGTTCGTAGGCATTAGTTTCTCTTTTAAGCTAGAAAATCACATTAGCAATGTGACTAAGTTGTTGAACGTGAATTGTGATGTTTTCTAATCAGTGTGGATTGCTGATCACAATCCATGCTTATGGTTTGTTGATCTGGGTCCTTGCTTATCAATATGGTTTGTCAAACGTGGTCTCGTCTGTTGTGGTGTTGTGGGAGTCTAACTTTTGTTATATGCAGGGACTCTGGGATTCAACCCACCGTGCTACTATTGGCGTGAAGAGAATGGGAGATCTTGACCAGAAGCCATTTCAAATTGCAACCAAGGAGAAATACTCCAATGAAGCAGCAGATGAGAAGGCTGTGGAGTACTGCTCTCTGTGGGAGGCGTATCTTAGGGATCCAAACTGGCATCCTTTCAAGATAATTACGGATCAAGAAGGGAAGCCTACGGTATACATTCAATAATCAAGCAATATGTATTGTTGGTTCCTTTCGATAAATAAATACGTAGAATACCATTGTTGACGACTATCTTTTACATGTTGCTCTTGTTATAACAGTTCAACTCATAATGAGTGCTGGTGGTTTATAACGATTGAGGTATTCCTGTTGCTCTTACTTTCCATTAACTGGGTTTTGTTGGATGTGGGTACAGGAAATTATTGATGAAAATGATGACAAATTGAAGGATTTGAAGAATCAGCTGGGTGATGAAGTATACAAGGCAGTGACAACTGCTTTGATGGAAATGAATGAGTATAATCCCAGTGGACGCTATATAATACCTGAGCTGTGGAACTTCAAAGAAGGAAGGAAGGCTTCGTTGAAGGAGGGAGCAGTATTTTTGCTAAGCAAGTGGAAACCGCTTAGGAAACGGAGAAGATAAACAAGGCATGCATTTAAAACTTTACTTGCTATGCAAATCTATCTTGAATCATACATAGCTTTCAGACTGCGAGATATTCTAATTCTTTCAAGAATATTGCTTAATGATTTGAAGTTGAGGTCAGTTACATTGTTGAAAATAGTAATCATTTAGTATATGCTTAAACGATACAAATCAATTTCGAACTTGATAAATTAGTATGAAGACTGTATATTAGGAAATTATGACATCATGCATAGCATGTAACTCGACTGTTGCTTGTCGCTATATGGTGGTTTCACATTGTAATTCGACTGTTGTTTCTTATGCATGGGTTTATTTCCTCGGCTAACTCTGACCTGAATGTGGTTTTTGTAGGTGACAGAGCGGAACATGGATGGGGTGCTTAAAGAGCTTCGGTTACTGGTAAGTGTCGATTAGCCGCTGTTAAGTCTTCTTTTATTGCTTCATCCGATGTCAGATTGCGAGACTGAACAAATTTAAGAATTTCATTTCAGCATCAGATATGGTAAGATTAGTGAGGACAGATTTACCATTCAAATTTGTATTAGTTATTGGATGTTTCAGCACACTACTTTGCATGTCATATTTGGACCACAAAAATAGGCTTCAGGTTGGTCTTTTGTCTCTGAGCTTTTCGGCAAAGGAAGTGAAAACCCCATAGTTCTGCCAAATCGTTTCATTTTTCAGTGACAGGTTGCACTCATTACTTGGCATGATTATATTAAAATATAGCGTTTATGAAAATGGAAATGATAAACAAACCCTTTTTAACCTTTCACAAACGTCTGTTTAATTGCCGTTATTTGTGTGTGATTTATTCATTCTGATGGCCAAAAAAAAAAAAAAACAAACACGGTGTGTGAGAGACTAAAAGCAGGGTGTGAAAATCATCTGTCATATGAATCAGTCCAAGACAAAGTTTCTCTTTAGTCCAAGGAAAGATAGATTGTTTTGTAATTAAAGAAAGTCTTGGGTAAGGATAGTTGTGTCATATCAGCTCCAAGGACACACATAAGGTCATCTCCAACCAATCCGGCCAGAGGGCCGAAAATAACCCAAATGACACAAAAACCGTCTCCAACAAAGAGCTAGACCAAAGAGCTCGTGGGCCCCAACAGACCAAAAAAGGGAAAACAGACCAACTAGTTGGCCCAAGCATGTGAATCCAACAGTTACCTGGCGTCAGCATGAAGCCAGGTGACCGTTGGATTTTTTTTTTCCTATAAATACCTAAGCCATTCCTACACCATTTCTCGCATAATTTTCATCATTCCATACTATTTTACTTCATTCTATTTCAATTCCTCACATTTTGTTCTCTTACTTCTTCCAATAATATTTCCTTCAATTTTTTCAATAATTTTCAAATGGCCATATCGGCAATGGAAGGTAGGGCTTGGACCCGAAAAGAAGATGAAGCTCTTTGCAGGGCTTATAGATGGGTCTCAGAAGATAGTGTGAGGGGAAGTTCTCGAACAAGTGAAGGTGTTTGGACTCGTACGTCCAAAAAATACTATGAGTTCTACGAAGGCACCACTCCATTGAATACCCGAAATCACGAGAGTTGTTCTTCAAGATGGAAGAAACATCTTCATCCAAGTTTGAATAAATGACATCAAGCACTGGTAAAGGCCGCAAGCAGATATGAAAGCGGCGCCAATTACTACGACGAAGTAAGTATTTTCACAATTTATTTTAAATATTTAATTATATTACATTTAATTTCATAAATTAATTTTCTTTAATTTTTGTAATTATATTTTCTAGGTATGCCAAGTGGAGGGATTATATATGGAGGACAACTCGAAACCTTTTAATCATCACAGTTGTTGGGAAATTTGTAAAGGGTGGGTGTTATTTGAAGATCCACCTCAACAAAGAGTTGGTCCTACGCCGGTGTTCAGAAATGCATCCTCAATTGCATATGGGGATGAAGATGGATCTTTTACCGTTCAAGAAACAAGGTTAGGAAATTTGTCTCTTGGTTAAGGTTCCATACCTAGGGCTATGGGAAGAAACAATGCCCGAAAATTGAAGGAAAAGGGCAAGGCAAAGGATGATTACACCTTTCAATAGGAAATGGCGGCCTCTTTGTGATTTATGGCGAAGAAAAATGCCATTGCCGCAGAAGAAATGAACCGTAGGCACGAAGAACGGGCCAAACAAATACTAGAAGAGATGGATGATAGGAATATGTAAGGGAACACTTCAAATTACACTCTAATGAGTAAGCCTATTTTGTTAGGAAAAAAAGGGATATTATGGCCCGACGGGAGTTGTTGACCTTCAACTATAATCCTACAATGGCAGATAATGATGATGATGATGATTATAGACTTTAAGTTTAAGTTGTAGTAGTTCTTAAATTAAAATAATATTATGTTTGGCCTATGCCCCTTTGGACCCCTCGGTTGGAAATGGTTTTTTGTCACAAGGCTATGTTTGGCCTATGGCCCTCTGGCCCATCGATTGGAGATGGTAAGAAAAATATGGTATGTCACTGTTCATTAAAATATTAATTTCTTGGAGGGCTATAGGGCTAAAACAAGCCTTCTGACCCTCATTCAGTTGGAGATGGCCTAAGAGGACCCCTTGCATTCGGGTCCACACGAGAGCTTATATTGGTATAGTAACAAACATAAATTACTTTGAAGGAAAATTTAGACAAACACGATTTCTTAGTGTATTAAGTCATAATAAATATGAAATTTGCTTATCTACGAAATTCAAACTTAAAAAGAAAAATTTAGCCAAACACTTCGCAAAGAAAAACTTCTAACTACCTTGTCTCTTACGGGAAAATTTTCAATATGTCGTAAACACTGCCCATTACACCAAGTGTAATAGTACAATTTGCTGAGAAGTAATGACAGCTTCTCGCATTCGCATTCCCGAGCATCTGAGCGATCTTCATGCACAATTCCACTAGCCACCCCAGTAATAGTACAATTTGTTGAGAAGCAATGACAGCTTCTTGCATTCGCATTCCCGAGCATTTGAGCGATCTTCAAGCACCATTCCACTAGCCACCCCAGTAGTTGTACTTTAGTTTAATTTTTGCTACATAAATTGAAAGAAATATATTATTTTTAATACAATATTTTTAGATTAATATAAATAGATTTAAATAATTTAAATTAAATATTATTTTAATTTCGAATAAAAAAAATTAATAGCTTTACCTGAAGAAACTTTTGTTGTATTTTTATTTTATTTTTGTTAAACAGATGCCTTCGTCTGGCTAAAGTATTTAATTTGTAGAAACTCGACGCAACTATGTCATCGAGCAAGATATATTCGTCGGGCAAGGATGGTGAATGCTCCTTTACCCAAAGACTTTGTTTCGTCGGCTGAAATGTTAGGCGACTAATCCATATTTGGTCCGAAAAAATTATTTCATCTGACAAAGAGTTTTTTGTAGTGTTGATTGAAAACAATTTAAAAAGAAGAAAAAAAAAAAAAAACCGACAAAACTAAGGGAAATGTGCTCGCCTTGGTTAAAAATACCAATAAAAAACAACCCTACTTCAAAAATGTATTCAATAAGAGCTTTTTTTGAGAAAATTGCCTTCACTTAGGGTTTATCTATATCGACAAAATATCAACAACATATCAACGAAATCTCAACAACATATTAATAAAATCTTAATGTTTGGACAACATATGGATACAAATTGAATTATATGAAGAGGGCTTTGCAATAGGGTCATCGAACCAATTTCCCTAAACTAATGTGCCTTTAGCTTCGATTTTCAATTATTCTATCCATCCAGTACCACTTGAGTCTTGAGTTACATCATGACCTTATTAACTAAGTTTGTCTTATGTAAAAACCATAACGCTAAACTTTGTTCAATAACCTTCAACTTATTGCATGACAAATTAACCATAATCTTGAATTATGATCAACGCCCCTTGCTAGCTGATCTTTCTTCCAGCAATCGAAGGCCAACATACCTGCCCAAAGAACAAAATTTGGAGTGGGAAAACAACAACAGTATATTCTTATAAAAAAAAAGGAAAACAAAATAAATAAATAATTTCGGAGGATTTAGTAGATATTATGTATTATGTACAGGTAATTTCTTATGGTTTTCTTTGAATGCATGAACATGCATACCTGCCTAACATCATAAGAGTGGCTTGAGGATTGGTCCCTGGTGATAAACTTTTGAACACAGATCCATCGACAACACGTAATGCCTTGATCCCCATGACCCGGAAATCTCCATCAACTACCTTTCCGACGAGGCATCCACCATGGTAGTGCCAAAATGTGGCTACTGTGTCTCGACAGAATGTTTCAATGGATGCAACATCTGACCGGTTCATTGGTAAAGGCGGTCCAAAAAGGTTAAAACCATCTTCGCCTGGCAAATCTTGAGTCTTAAATGGTTTCAATGCGTTTGTTTTTAATAAATCACCCATTTTCCTCACGGCACTAACACAACGAGAAAGGTCTGCCTTGTTTGCAAAGTAGTTGAATTTGACATTTGGGCCGACTTTGACATCATAGGATGATTGCAGTTTAAGAGAACCATAGGACAAGGGTGCTGGATTTTTGGTAACAATGTGCCCGAAAGTTGAATTTATCGTCATGGGAATAGTTGGATTAGGGAAAAGACTAAAGGCCATAGTAGAAAATGGCAACCCGGAGACGGTCTCTATATAGTAATCACTTGTGATACCAGCAATCTGTGCAGTAGAAGGTTCTAGTTCAGATGGGGGCAAAATGGTAACGTAATTACGAGGATTGTCACGCATAAACTGCCCAACGTAAGGTTGTGGGTGAACAACTGGGATTTTAAGAGATGAAAGGTAGGACTTCGGGCCAACACCACTAAGTAGCAGAAGTTGAGGACTCCCAATTGCCCCTGCACTCAATATAACCTCACCTTTACCACGTATCAATGCCTGATGAGACCTCCCATAGGAATCAGTGTATATGATTCCTTTAGCTGACAAACCTGCATTCAACCGATACTAGAATTGAACATATATTTAACTTACAAGTTATTAAATATATAGAATAGATTCAAATTCTTCAAATATATCAAGGAGTTTTTTTTTTTTCAACGCCCTGATAGATTTGATTTTTGTTTTTCGATCGAAACATATTAATGTACTTACACATATGTACATTCACAGTAATATGTAAGCAACAAACAAGATCAAAATCAAAGTCCAATCAAAATCCAATCTAAGATGGATTTAATGAAAAAAAAAAGAAAAGGAAAACCTTAACTCGTGTCATCGAAGGATGGAAATCTAAATGGCCTTTAATTGTATATATCAAATGTTAGCATACCTGATGCCTTGGAAGAGAAAATGATCCTCTCTACTGCGGCATGAATTGCAACTCTCAGGTTTTTTGGATGTCCTTTATTTAGCAGTTCCACGGCACCATGTCTTCTTCCACGATCGTCAAAGATCGTACCCGTGATTTTAGTTCCCTGAATGTGATCCAAAGTAAGTCCATTGTCTGGACGAACACCAGCTTCTAACAATGCATCTTTCACAACAGATTGCCAGTGTGATAAATTCGGACGGAACACTAGAGTGTTTTCAACCCATTCATATGAATTATTGACTAAGTTCATGTCCAATTTAATTCCTGATTTCTTGAGGAATTCACTGTCGGCCCTTGAGTAAAGACCAATATTGATCATAC